GTTTTTCCCCCAACGTCAAAAACCCCGGAATCCACGTCCTATACGCGCTGAACCATCGACCCAAGTTCTGATGGCGGCGGGGGCCCGGCCTGCCCCCACCCACTTTATCAATGGACCGATGACCTGGACTGACCTTGATGATGATATTGTGTCCCCCAGCAGAATGCAGTGGAAGTGCCATTCGCCCCTGCTGGGGCTGCCCCTGCCTGCGTGTGGAGAGTTGGTGATGTGCTGCTATACCGGTGTGTAAAGGGCCGCTACGCGGAAAGTTTTAGGACGTGGCACTTCCAGGCCAGGGGGGGGGGGGGGGCCGGGGAGGCCAGGTTGGGGGCCACAGTGTATGGAAAAACATTTGTTTTATGCTCTTTTGTTGACATCTCCTGCAGCCTCTTTGCAGGCACTTCCTGCCGACATGCACCCGGCGTGGGGTGTCCGGATGGGTGGCCTGGCAATGAGCCGTGTCTGTGAAAGTGTCAGTACGGCCTGTTGTAGTCTCCATCAGAAGGGTCATGTGACGTGGGGTGTAAGGAGGGGGGTGTATAACGGGGGACCGTCTTCCTTTCCCTTGGGGGGGGGTTATTGGGTTATATTGGGGAGGTTTGTAGTTGTCAGTTTTGTTGTCATTTGGGTGATTGCCGGCCCTTTAATTCTGCGCTGGGCCCCCCCTTTGTTGCGCTTGGGCGCCCTCCTCCGTTGCGCTCCCTCCCCCGAACCGTTGCGCTGGGGCGCCCGCCCCCCCGTTGTGCTGGGTGTGTGGTGTGGGGATCCGGGGTCAACCGACGAGGAGCTCCCAGAGGGTAAGTGGGGGTAGGGAACCGGTCCTCGTCAATCCACAGATTTGATTTGGTTTTACCCCCACCTGGCCGCCATGTTGTACCTTTCTCCTGGCGTCCAATCCCGCCTCTAGTAGTCTCACTTCTCTGTACGGTCAGGTGGGCGGAGTGCTGGAATGTCCGTCGTGGAATGGGGGAGGGGGTGTGGAGCTCCGCCCAGAAACTGAATTAAGTGATAGGGAGACCATCTTGTCCCCCCGCCCCCCGCCTCATTCTCCCCCCTCACATTGGTTGAGACAGATGCCGCGTGCTGATGGGACGCAGATACAGCGAGCGCCCCTCCACCTGCTCCGAAGACTCCGCCCTCTGGAAGTTTACTACGGGTTTGGCGGAATGTTTCTCACTTCCTGTCACATGGCTGGTAGATCTCCAACTGTCACTCAGCTTCTCCGCTCTCTGACCCCTTTCTCGCGGCCTTCACTGACAGCGCCCCCTGCTGGGTCTGTCTGGGGGGGGGTTCAGGGGGTGATCAAATGGGTCTTGCGTGGGGGAGCCTGGAGAGGGACCAGTTCGGGGGGGAGGGGGGGAATGGCCAGGGTTAATCGGATGGGTCTGGATGGAGGAGGGGGTGGGGGCGGTGGGGGGTGGCCAGGGGCTAATTGGATGGGGGAGGGGGTGTGACCAGATGGTCTGGATGGGGGCAGGGGGTGTGACCATATGGGTGGGGAGGGGGGGGTGGGTGTCCAGGTGTGACTAGATGGGGGAAGTGTGTCCAGGGGCTAATCAGATGGGTCTGGATGGCGGAGGGGGGTGGGTGTCCAGGGTGTTGTGACCGATGGGGTCTGGATGGGGGAGGGGGGAGGGGGGGGGTGTCCAGGGTGTGATCAGGTTAGTTCTAAGGAAGGGGGGGTCTGCTGGCGGCTGTGGGGATCTTCGGAGTAAAACCTACAGTATTCTGAGGGTCACCTAGGGATGAGGTCAATGTATGAAGTCATCACATGACGTTCATCAGGGGAAAGCCCATCACAGAACCGAAGAAGCTGCACATAGAATGAGAAGAGATCCACAGAGCTGCCATCAAGGACGGACCGCTGTCAGTTGAGCAGCTAACCAATAGAGGGAGCCTTCCTCGTCTGTAACCAATGAGAGGAGCCTTCCTCTTCCGTAACCAGGCAGGGGGAGCCTTCCTCTTCCGTAACCAATAGGAGGACCTTCCTCTTCCGTAACCAATAGGAGGAGCCTTCCTCTTCCGTCACCAGCAGGGGGGAGCCCTTCCTCTTCCGTAACCCAATAGGGGCGCCTTCCTCTTCCGTAACCCAATAGGGGGCGCCATCCTCTTCCGTCACACCAATGAGGAGACGTCCAGCCTCAGTTGTTGGGAAAAAGTGGAGACTTGTACGTAACTTCAGCTGCTTGTACTCTGATGGTTGTGACGTCCGGTAGGTGACGTATCCAGTAGGTGACCTCTCCTCCTCATGCTGCTCAGGTTCTGTACCACCTACTAATAAGACCTCTAGATGGTCCACCCTCCACACACCAATCAACGTCTGTCCTCTGGTAGGCGGTTCCTGCTTCTTCTCTTCCAGGAATGGATAACAAAACTTCTTCCAGCTCCGTAGACTTGTCCTCCATGAGTCTTGCATGGCATGCTTGTTTTACCTCGGCATGTTCACACAGTCTGGGCACACTGCAATGCTGGGAGATGAGGGTTAGACCACAAGATGAGGATGTCTCCTTGCTTGCCGGTTCCTGCTGGGTTCGTCCTGAACCGTCGAGGGGTAGGTAACCTCCTCCACTTCCATGTCCAGTGAGAATCACCAGGAACACCCACAAGTTGATGGACTCATCGATGGGCCACCTTCCACCATCTCATTGTGTCGTTGTTTCTCCACAGCACCCAACCTGGCCAGCCCTGCGGCAGCGGCACGTGGACTCCGGGCATTCCACCATGGGATCGCTGAGGTTGGTAGAAGTTTTACGACTTAGTGAGCCAGAGCGAAGCCACCCCACCGGCCATCCATTACCGGCCCAGCAAAGTCTCCCTTCACCGATATGCGCAGCCTCTCTCTCACGGACAGTCCTTCAGCTCTGATCACCACCCCTCCAGTTCTTCCAACCCTTCCCCGGCTCCAGGTCCCCCCTTCTCCGCTCCCCCTCCCCCTCCACCCGGATCCCATCCCGTCTACTATCACCACTCCACCACTTACTATCTGCAGATGGACTCTCTTCCTGACCTGCCCCCTCCAGGACGTCACCTCCGGGATGCTGCTCGCTCCCCCAGCGTTGGGTATTTCTGCATGCGTGTGCCTCTCAAGTGGTTTCAATACTAACCTGAGGCCTCATCCAGGGGCCCCCGCTTCTTCCAGGAATGCTTGTGGGTCCCTCCTGTTGGGGAATGCATGATGTGACGCCCCACAAATTTTCCCTTCTAACCTTCTGTTAATCGCGCTCCGCCTCCATCGGACGTGACGGGGAGTGGGAAGGATATAGAATTTATTCTGGGGGTCATTGAATCCTCTATATATGATCATTGGACGTCACCGGCAGGATGAAGGAGGTCCTGATCTCCTCTATATAGATCCTATCACTAGAGGGGTCACCGGCAGAGGAAGGAGAGGTCCTGATTCCTCTATATAGATCTATATATCACTAGAGGGGTCACCGGCAGAGGAAGGAGGGTCCTGATTCCTCTATATAGATCTATCACTAGAGGGGTCCACCAGCCAGGAGGAAGGAGGTCCCGATTCCTCTATATTGATCTTTGCTCGCCCCCCCCCCCCAATCACTAGAGGGGTCACACCCGGCAGGAGAAGGATGGTCCTGATTCCTCTATATTAGATCCTTTCACTAGAGGGGTCCCACCAGCAGGGAAGGAGGTCCGATTCCTCTATATAGATCTTTATATCACTAGAGGGGTCACCGGCAGGAGGAAGGAGGTCCTGATTCCTCTATATAGATCCTATCACTAGAGGGGTCTCCGGCAGGGAGGAAGGAGGTCCTGATCCTCTATATAGATCCTATCACTAGAGGGGTCACTGGCAGGAGGAAGGAGGTCCTGATTCCTCTATATAGATCTATCACTAGAGGGGTCACCCGGCAGGAGGAAGGAGGTCCCGATTTCCTCTATATAGATCTATCACTAGAGGGGTCACCGGCAGGAGGAAGGAGGTCCCGATTCCTCTATATAGATCTATCACTAGAGGGGTCACCGGCAGGAGGAAGGAGGTCCTGATTCCTCTATATAGATCCTATCACTAGAAGGGTCACCAGCAGGAGGACGAGGTCCCGATTTCCTCTCTATATCTTATATCACTAGAGGGGTCACCGGCAGGTGGAAGGAGGTCCTGATTCCTCTATATAGTTCCTATCAACTAGAGGGGTCACCGGCAGGAGGATAGGAGGTCCTGATTCACCTCTATAGATCCTATCACTAGAGGGTCACTGGCAGGAGGAAGGAGGTCCTGATTCCTCTATATATAGATCTATCACTAGAGGGGTCACCGGCAGGAGGAAGGAGGGTCCCGATTCCTCACTATTAGTAGATGTTCTATCTCACTAGAGGGGTCACCGGCAGGAGGAAGGAGGTCCTGATTCCTCTATATTAGATCTATCACTAGAGGGGTCACCGGGCAGGAGGAAGGAGGTCCCGATTCCTCTATATAGATCTATCACTAGAGGGATCACCGGCAGGAGGAAGGTGGTCCCGATTCCTCTATATAGATCTATCACTAGAGGGGTCACCGGCAGGAGGAAGGAGGTCCTGATTCCCTCTATATAGATCGATATATATCACTAGAGGGGTCACCGGCAGGAGGAAGGAGGTCCCGATTCCTCTATATAGATCCTGTCACTAGAGGGGTCACTGGCAGGAGGAAGGAGGTCCCGATTCCTCTATATAGATCCTGTCACTAGAGGGGTCACCGGCAGGAGGAAGGAGGTCCCGATTCCTCTATAATAGATCTACACTAGAGGGGTCACCGGCAGGAGGGAAGGAGGTCCCGATTCCTCTATATAGATCCTGTCACTAAAAAGAGGGGTCACCGGCAGGAGGAAGGGAGGTCCCGATTCCTCTATATAGATCCTGTCACTAGAGGGGTCACCGGCAGGAGGAAGGAGGTCCCGATTCCTCTATATAGATCCTGTCACTAGAGGGGTCACCGGCAGGAGGAAGGAGGTCCCGATTCCTCTATATAGATCCTGTCACTAGAGGGGTCACCGGCAGGAGGAAGGAGGTCCCGATTCCTCTATATAGATCCTGTCACTAGAGGGGTCACTGGCAGGAGGAAGGAGGTCCCGATTCCTCTATATAGATCTATACACTAGAGGGGTCACCGGCAGGAGGAAGGAGGTCCGATTCCTCTATATAGATCCTATCACTAGAGGGGTCACCGGCAGGAGGAAGGAGGTCCTGATCTCTATATAGATCTATCACTAGAGGGGTCACCGGCAGGAGGAAGGAGGTCCCGATTCCTCTATATAGATCTAACACTAGAGGGGTCACCGGCAGGAGGAAGGAGGTCCCGATTCCTCTATATAGATCCTGTCACTAGAGGGGTCACGGCAGGAGGAAGGAGGTCCCGATTCCTCTATATAGATCCTGTCACTTACTAGAGGGGTCACCGGCAGGAGGAAGGAGGATTTCCCGATTCCTCTATATAGATCCGGTCACTAGAGGGGTCACGGCAGGAGGAAGGAGTGGTCCCGATTCCCTCTATATAGATCTATCACTAGAGGGGTCACCGGCGGGAGGAAGGAGGTCCCGATTCCTCTATATAGATCTATCACTAGAGGGGTCACCGGCAGGAGGAAGGAGGTCCCGATTCCTCTATATAGATCCTATCACTAGAGGGGTCACCGGCGGGAGGAAGGGGTCCTGATTCCTCTATATAGATCTATCACTAGAGGGGTCACCGGCGGGAGGAAGGAGGTCCTGATTCCTCTATATAGATCTATCACTAGAGGGGGTCACCGGCAGGAGGAAGGAGGTCCCGATTCCTCTATATAGATCCTGTCACTAGAGGGGTCACCGGCAGGAGGAAGGAGGTCCCGATTCCTCTATATAGATCCTGTCACTAGAGGGGTCACCGGCAGGAGGGAAGGAGGTCCCCGATTCCTCTATATAGGATCCTGTCACTAGAGGGGTCACCGGCAGGAGGAAGGAGGTCCCGATTCCTCTATATAGATCCTGTCACTAGAGGGGTCACCGGCAGGAGGAAGGAGGTCCCGATTCCTCTATATGGATCCTGTCACTAGAGGGGTCACCGGCAGGAGGAAGGAGGTCCCGATTCCTCTATATAGATCCTGTCACTAGAGGGGTCACCGGCAGGAGGAAGGAGGTCCCGATCCCTATATAGATCTATCACTAGAGGGGTCACCGGCAGGAGGAAGGAGGTCCCGATTTCCTCTATATAGAGTCACTAGAGGGGTCACCGGCAGGAGGAAGGGAGGTCCCGATTCCTCTATATAGATCCTGTCACTAGAGGGGTCACCGGCAGGAGGAAGGAGGTCCCGATTCCTCTATATAGATCTAAACACTAGAGGGGTCACCGGCAGGAGGAAGGAGGTCCCGATTCCTCTATATAGTTCCTGTCACTAGAGGGGTCACCGGCAGGAGGAAGGAGGTCCCGATTCCTCTATATAGATCCTGTCACTAGAGGGGTCACCAGGCAGGAGGAAGGAGGTCCCGATTCCTCTATATAGATCCTGTCACTAGAGGGGTCACCGGCAGGAGGAAGGAGGTCCCGATTCCTCTATATAGATCCTGTCACTAGAGGGGTCACCGGCAGGAGGAAGGAGGTCCCGATTCCTCTATATAGATCCTGTCACTAGAGGGGTCACTGGCAGGAGGAAGGAGTCCCGATTCCTCTATATAGATCTATCACTAGAGGGGTCACCGCAGGAGGAAGGAGGTCCTGATTCCTCTATATAGATCCTATCACTAGAGGGGATCACCGGCAGGAGGAAGGAGGGTCCTGATTCCTCTATATAGATCCTGTCACTAGAGGGGTCACCCGGCAGGAGGAAGGAGGTCCCGATTCCTCTATATAGATCCTGTCACTAGAGGGGTCACTGGCAGGAGGAAGGAGGTCCCGATTCCTCTATATAGATCTATCACTAGAGGGGTCACCGGCAGGAGGAAGGAGGTCCTGATTCCTCTATATAGATCCTATCACTAGAGGGGTCACCGGCAGGAGGAAGGAGGTCCTGATTCCTCTATATAGATCTATCACTAGAGGGGTCACCGGCAGGAGGAAGGAGGTCCCGATTCCTCTATATAGATCTAACACTAGAGGGGTCACCGGCAGGAGGAAGGAGGTCCCGATTCCTCTATATAGATCCTGTCACTAGAGGGTCACCGGCAGAAGGAAGGAGGTCCCGATTCCTCTATATAGATCCTGTCACTAGAGGGGTCACGGCAGGAGGAAGGAGGTCCCGATTCCTCTATATAGATCCTGTCACTAGAGGGGTCACTGGCAGGAGGAAGGAGGTCCCGATTCCTCTATATAGATCTATCACTAGAGGGGTCACCGGCAGGAGGAAGGAGGTCCCGATTCCTCTATATAGATCTATCACTAGAGGGGTCACCGGCGGGAGGAAGGAGGTCCTGATTCCTCTATATAGATCCTATCACTAGAGGGGTCACCGGCGGGAGGAAGGAGGTCCTGATTCCTCTATATAGATCTATCACTAGAGGGGTCACCGGCAGGAGGAAGGAGGTCCTGATTCCTCTCTATATAGATCTATCACTAGAGGGGTCACCGGCGGGAGGAAGGAGGTCCCGATTCCTCTATATAGATCCTGTCACTAGAGGGGTCACCGGCAGGAGGAAGGAGGTCCCGATTCCTCTATATAGATCCTGTCACTAGAGGGTCACCGGCAGGAGGAAGGAGGTCCCGATTCCTCTATATAGATCCTGTCACTAGAGGGGTCACCGGCAGGAGGAAGGAGGTCCCGATTCCTCT